ACTAATGCATGAAAATCCTAACCTCAAAAAAATCACCCGTTATATGGTAAGCAGACTCGAACCACAATCAACCACTTTTTGACGGTGTAAGAATTCATAGTAGATGTACGCATCATAAAATACTCTTATTTTGGCGAATTTACAGAGCATTAATTTGAAGGCAAGGATTTTTTTTCGTTACAATTCTTCTTCTTAATTGGCATTAAAACCCTTTGTTGATGTGGGCGAATACCAAAATAACGTCGTAATTACCTCCCTTCTTTGTTTAGTTGCGCCACTTCTTCATCCCCAGTACAGAAAGGTATTCTGTAATTGGTCCTTCCATGGTGATCATGGCCACATCCATGGGTGCCGAGCCGAAGGATATTTTCACTTGGGCATCGTCGTTCATGCCACCAACGCCAGAGAGCAAAGCACCATTTCATCTTAGGCATGGTGCTCATTAGAGCGATCGATACGCGTTACGATATAAAAGTGGCATCGACATGCGCGCAGTGCACATTAGAGCAATACCACACGCGATACCATATGCGGTGTGATAGCAAACCGTGTCGCTCGACCTACACGCAAGCGATATATGTCGACGCAGTGTGGCTGACGTGCCAGTGAGCACAGTTTTCATCGCTTCCTACTAATTCTGACGTACTAAGCATGTCGATGTCGATTTCATATCGTATTGCCTATCGTATTGCCTATCGTATCGCGTATCGCATCGCTCTAGTGTGCAACGCGTCTTAGCATCTCTCAAGGCATATAAAACAGGTAGTTGCATTAGAGCAAAATCAATATTTACGTGTATATTTTGTTGCTTCTAGTATCTAAAGTGTCAAAAGCTGTTCTGATTTTTTCTTGCAAATCCAAGTGTGCCATGTAAAATACACAAAAAAAATATTAGAAAAAATTTTAATTGGAAAAAATAAAAATTGTGGCAACTTTCCTGCTTAGTAAATTTGTTTGCTTCTCGAAGCAAAGATCCATACTTTGCAAGGCCCAGTTAATCAGCGTTTGTGCTGCTCAGTTAGGTGAACATTTCATGCTTGGTTTTTTATAGAAAAAAGTATTATATGCAAATAGATTTTAACAATTTAGAATGTTTGTGGGAAGAAATTAAAAATACTTGACATTTCAGAGACCAAATAATTTGAAAAAAATTCTATATTCCTTGGCATTGCCTATTTGTGTTAAATTTAATAATGCAAATACAAAAAGATGATTTTCGTATTCATTTTCACATTGAATAAAACTCTCAACGCAATTTCCTTACATTTTAAATTTTTGCGCTCTTTTCCCTTTTCTTGCAGTGTGGACGAAAGATTCAATGGCGCCTACATGCCCGACATTGTGGTAAGGAATAATGGCTCATGTTTTTATGTGTTGCCTGATATTTTCAAATCCACCTGGAAATTTTTGATCACATTGTTTCCATCTCCTCGTCAACGCTGTGGAATGAAGTTCGGCACATGAACATATGATGGCTTTCAGGTAGGCAAAATAGTTATTCGTTTGCAGTACAAAGTTTTCGCATGGACAATAAATCCTTTTCGAAAAAAATTATGCCTATGTACGCATGTTGTTTATTATGCCCTGAGTTATGCTATCGAGGTAAAAAAATGATAGAAAAGTTGAAATAACTTCCAAAAATATATGTATAAACACACAATATGAACAAAAAAAAAGAAACGGATAAACTAAAGGCAACATATCCATTTACAAACTCATGGTTTCAAAAATGAGCACATTTGTCCTTGTTTATGTTCATTCAACTACATAGTAGGATATATCAAATCCAGCTCTGGCCACGAACCCTACTCTAACGACGACCAGGAACGATTTTCTAAATTTCATTCACACATGCAACCATTCAAATTTTTTACTCAATTTGCGCACTGGCATACCTTTTAAGCATTGCGTTGAGTGGCTGATAAATCAAAATGTCAACTGCGAGTTGCTGTTGAAAGCATCGTTTCGCATGCCGCTAAACAGAAAACTCTTTCACTTGATAATAAGTAAACTGAATCAATGAAGCCAGTGTCCTCCCCTTTTCCTTAAGTTGCCAGTTATCACTTTTCTTTTCATCCTTTTTTTGTTCTACCACCACTTCAATAGGCCCACAGTTAAGCATTTAAAAAGCCTCTTAGCCAATACACTCTCGAATACAATTTAATTGCTCTCGAATTAATTCCGTCGCTTTTAATTTGAAAAAGTGCTTAAGGCCACAAAAAACAATAGCCATTACAAGTGCAAATAATCAGCGCCAAATGCTAGCTGAAAAAAGAGCAAAAATCATAGCGCAAATTAAAACAAAGGGCTCAAATGATAGCCAATAACAAACCAACAAACGCAATCGAAATGAAAACAATTGCATCGATGTATTTAATTTGCGTAATTATATTTAATGGCTTTTTGATATACCCAATGCAACAATAAATATATATCGGCGTTTGCCAATATTTTGCTTCGCGCGTGGTATACAATTTGTTGTAATCGCTTAGCGTGTAATTGCCGTTTTTACAGTTCTGTNTAATGGCTTTTTGATATACCCAATGCAACAATAAATATATATCGGCGTTTGCCAATATTTTGCTTCGCGCGTGGTATACAATTTGTTGTAATCGCTTAGCGTGTAATTGCCGTTTTTACAGTTCTGTCAATTTCAGCAGCTAGTGCATGTTTTGGTATTTTAGAATTTTTTCATAAATACGAATTTGTCTCTATATTACGTATTTAAAATGATGTTGTCGGTTTTTTTATTTAGCTGTGGTGAACTCATACTATTATGCTTTGCACTTTTGCTCGCATAGGCTTGAAAATAATTACGTGCTAATTGGTTAAAATTAAAATGACAGCAGAGTGTCTAAAATTTCATTATATTAGAGCAATTAAATTATTAACTGCTTCGAATTAATTTTCTACATATCGATGGCTGAGTGGAAGATCGACCTATCTCGGCAGCCAGTTCGAAAACATTCTTTCTCAAAAAACTTTTCAAGAACGCCCTATTTCAGAATTCGTTTCAAAAACGCCCTATCTCAGCTGCCGATTCAAAAACCCCCCTATATCAGCATTTTTTCAATACATTTTGAAGTGAGATAGGGCGTTTTTGAACCGAATTTTGAGATGTGGTGTTTTTCAATAAAATTCTGAAATAGGGCGTTCTTGAAAAGTTTTTTGAGATAGAGCATTTTCGAACTGGCAGCCGAGATAGGTCGATCTTCCACTCAGCCATCGATATATACTTTTACGCATAATAGATACAAAATTTCATTAGAGTAATAGGCAATGCAATTTCTTATTCAAATAGCAAATATGAACATTGATATGTGTGTATTAGGAATGGCCTTAAAAATCAAATGAACGAATTTTTTCAGTCTCACCCTTCAATCAGTAACCCACGGTTAAAGATATATATATATTCTCAACACACATTCTCTCACATTAGGGTGGTCCTTAAAAAATCAAAGGAACGATTTTTTTCAGTGTCACCCCCTCAATCCCACGGTCACAGATATCACATATAAGTTTTAGTCCCCATTGGAAACGGCGTGTGGCTCAGGGTGCAAAGTGCAGATTCATCTATGGAGCCTCAAAAATTAAAATTTATAATTTTTTATCTAATACCCCAAATCGATACTACTATATTCGAAGATATCACTTATAAATTTTGGTCCCGATTGGGGTCGATTAAGGCACGTCGCAGAGGAATCAAAGTTCAGCAGATGGATTCCAGAATTCCATCGCTAATTTTGATCGCCAAAAATCCGCAAAAGAATAGCAGGCACCCTAACAACACGCAACATCTAGTTACATTCCCTCCATTATTGACAGATTTGGCTGATTATATGTACATTGCATGTGTTACTCTTCCATGTTGTATACTTTTAGGATCCACTATTTTTCATTTACAGATTTTTATAATATTTTTCCGCCTAAGTATTTAAATTTAACAATTTTGCTTGTTTTAAAAAGCAAAAAATTTAATCTTAATTTCATGTTCATTTATTTTATACCATAGCTAAACACTTAATTCCAAATGGTTCCGATAAAGTTTGCTTTGTATTGTTAGAACAATTTTCTCTATAGTATTTGACAACTTGCAGTATGTGTTGTTTGTCCCCTCTCTTTTAAAAGAAATTTTATTGTACTACTCTCCTCTTTCTGCCGTGTAATTTTCCACTTTTAAATGCTTTATCCTATTAACAGTTGGGTAATCTGAATTTTGACCCCTTTGCGACACTCCCTAACCAACTTCAATCGAAAGCAAAATTTAGATGTGATATCTTTGACTGTAGTAGTATCGATTTTGGGTATAAGTTGAAAAACAAAATTAATTTCAATTTTTTGAGTCTACACAGAGTATTCTGAACTTTTCGACCTGTGCGACATGCCTTAACGGTTTCCAATCAGCACCAAAACTTATATATGATATCCTTAACCGTGTTATTAGCCGATTGAGGGGGTGAGACTGGAAAAATCGTTCCTTTAATTTTTCTTAATCATCCGGAATACCACTTTAATGAGGACAACCAAGTCGTCGACGAACTGTCGAGAGAAAGAGCTTGAACCGTAGAAGAAGAAGATAGATTTTGTACCAGCTGTCACTTCTGTTGTGATTTTCAGTAACTCTTCAGGTAAATTGGGGCAATTTAACCCACGCCTGACCTCCGGGACAAGCTTGGACTCATATAAATTCTAACAGTGGTTTCCAAAATAATAACCTAACTGATTAATCGCGAAATACTGGAATGCTGGGTCGGATGTATTGCGAGGAGACAAGTTGTCTTCTTTCGTCGACATATTACCCAGTTTCATTAAAGAATCTCGAGAGTTTGTCGAGGAGTAATTATTTCAATCTGCAATGGGCAACTACGCCTGAGAGCTTGAAAAATTCATCTTGGTTACCCAGCCTAGCGTAAGGCCTTTCCAATCAAAACTGACACTAAACTGCAACACCAAAATAAAACCGAAATAAATTTGCAGCAGCAAACGCATAAAATATCAATTTTAATATTTCGAATATCTGTACAAATCTTGAAACTCTGCCAAACACATTTAATGCGCTCAAAACGACATGAAGGCGGTGCAGTGTAAGCAGTTTACTGGTGGTGTGTGGCAACTAAGTGTTCGCCTAAGGAAGTGACACTCACTGGCAGAAATCCATGCGTGGATTTATTTACCCTCTAAGTACTTAGTATGTGCTGCGCCTGGGTAAACACCGCTTCAGTGACTCGAAATTTGCTTTTCCACTAAATGTTGTCACATAAGATGCAGATGATTGAGAAATGTCGACAGTTGGTGGCAATATGTAAGCGGGGCTTATGGCAAGCGAATTTGCAATGAAAATTGTTGGCTCGATTATTTGAAATATCAAACAGCGGTAGTTTTACGACATCGATATCAAGCAAGCACACACATACACATGCAAGCTAACTTGCTAAGCATTTGCAATTTCCTTCTTCGGCACTTCGGCACACACCACAAAGCCAAAATGCGTAAACTTGGCATAAATATTTGATTCTGACTGTTTGCTGCAGCCACAAAACAAATTCGATGTGTGCCAAAGCTACTGAAGTTGAAAGTGCGATATAATGCGGTGGCTACGAGCTCCAGCTAGTGTGTGAGCTTGTTGTGGTAGGTACAGCTTCTCATTTAATTTTTTGGCATTGACATTTTTTCTAGCCAAAATAATTCTATTGTAATATTTCACGTGCTAACTTTTTGCTGCTAAAAACGGATACAAAACTGTGGGCGGCTCGTCCTTGGCTTTGGCTTTGGCTGCTGTGCTGCGTGATTTTGCTGTTGTTGTTGCACGGATCGCCGTCGGCGTGAACAATAAACTTTGTTAGGTAGTATGTGTTTTGCACAAATTGCATTTGTTGCCTACGCAAGTGTGATATTTTGGCTCGCCTCCTGCTGGGAAAGGAACAAAACGATTTGGCTATCGGCGGTGATTTGAGCGCCGCACGTATCTGGAAAATATTTGCACTTTTTTAAGGTTTGCTTTTGAGTGCACAACAAGCAAATGGAAATTTTTAAATATTTGCATGAATTATCACGCGGAAGCTTCTCATCCGACCTTGGGCATTTAACTAGGGAAATTAGAAATGTGGTTTGGCAAAGCCTGAGTTGGAAGTTCCTCGAGAAATGGTTTTTGGTAAATGGCCAAGAGCAATAATGACATTGTCACAGAGTAGATAATTGATTAGTTGTTTGCAACTGTGAAAGAATCACTAATTACATAAAAATAATGGTGACTTGCTACATATTTGAAAGTAATAAATTTGCCCAAATAACACAGGCAAACAAAAATGGAAAAAAAATTGATGGTTAGTGGTTGGACTTGCTGGTGCTGATTAAGAATCCGTAACTGAGAAATTTTAATCAGCTCCAGATTTTGAGAAAAATGAAGTAAAAGTGTAAAACAATCGCGTTTTTTGCAATTTTTGAGAAGTTTGAACTTTCGACTACAATTCACGAAAATAACA